GGTCAGCAGCCGAGTACTTTATCCACTAGGCCACCGTGGCGGGGCAACTTTGGAAAAATAAAGCTGGGAACATGAACACTTTGGGTGTTAGCGGCACGTTTGTTTTGAGTATGCGCATTCGCAACTATTCACTGTTATCACATGTGTAACACAACCAATGATCGAAAAAGGAGAAAGTCTTTATTTAGATCAAGCGCTGCTACGCGACGGGTACACCAGAGACTACCATTCTGCATTATTAGTTGGCATTCGGCAATTATCAAATGTTACAGTAGTGCCTAAATGTTGCCTCGATGTATTATTGATTGTTGAATGAAAGCATGGACGATTCCCCATTGAAAAAAAAATATTACCTGAGCTTGAATCGAAACAAAACTCCCTTGTTGCGCGGTCACTGTCGTTTTTAATCAAGACCGGCTTTGAGAAATGCTTTAAACTAGCGAGCATGAGCTGTCGCTGCAACATGGAGATCGCAGCCTACTGACCTACTGCGTTACAGCTCGTGATCCGCGCGCTTTGAAGACTTTTGTGGTGAGCGTACCGGGAAGGAGGCAGCTGAGTGAGCTGATTTCGGCTGTGGTAAGTGCGTGCTCACCGACTACGTGCTGCTATGGCACATAAGTAAAACACAGCCTTGCATCAGTATTCCTTTTCGCTCATGCAACTCGGGGTGGCGGTGAGCGCCCCCTTTAGTGGGTAAACACAGAAGGGACCGCTTGGCTGCTCCGTCGTACGCTTGATAGTGAGTACCAGCGACTTCATGAGAGTCGGGCTTCGTACGTATCGCTGTCATCAAATTGCTTGGAGCACAGCACAGTTTATCTTGTGGGTCTTTTCTCTTAACGGGAGCGACCTATTTTGCAGCCGTCTTCTGCTCCCTAGGATACTTGTGAAAAGGGACATTCATCGCAACCGAAAGTGCTGTGGTAGCCATATGCCGCTCAGTAGTTTGGTATTTTGAGCTCACATAAACCCCACACAACAGAAACTCGAATGGCAACCCGGCTGTCAGATGGCAAAAATCTTTTACAGAAGGAGCAAACAGTGCAGTGGCGAGAAATTCCTACGAGCTGGCAGCAGTGATGGTTCGTTGGCCAGTAGACCACAACAGACATTAGGCCCAATCCTCAAGCTAACAGGCTGACCGGCTCTGGTGGCCTAGCTATATATCCCGCAGATGACGACACCACCCCACTTCTCTCTCTCCCGTGCTCTTCTCCTGCGCTCCGCGCACGCCGAGGGCTGTTTCATTGGTGAGTTTGCTCAGTTATAGAAAAATTCCACCGGACTTACGTCACGAGAATGCGGTGGCGCTGTCTTGATAGGCAAAAGACGCTCTGCCTATCGCAGTGTCTTCTGGGTTTTCAATGGTGCATGTGGTGTTGTTCTCAGTCAAGCAACGAGAGAGAGAGAAAACATTTATTGATAGAAGCTCGTGAGTGAGGGTGGGAGGGTCCCTTATTCCAGGAACCCTCTGGCTTGGACAGCCCGCCGAGCTCGGGCGACGATTTGACGCTGCTCCACCAGGTCCGGCTGGGAGATCGCAGCCTCCCACGCTTCACTGAGGAGGGCTTGGTCCGCATCTGGTGCGGCTGCTCGTAGTCTTGGGACGCTTACTTTGCACTGCAGTAGGAGGTGCGCCAGAGTGTCTACCACATTGCAGTGAGGGCAGATGTAGCTGTGCAACGTTGGCCTCATATGGTGCAATAGTACGCCATGGGTGAACGTGCTTCTTTGAAGACGCCTATAGTCAGTTCCTTCGTCTCTTGTGAGTTTTGGATGTGGTGGAGGGTATAACCTGCGTTCGAGCCGGTAATGTTGCAGTAATGCATGGTACGTTATTGGTATGGCTTCCCTTGCCTCTGATTCTGTTGTTGAGTGGGAAGTGCCTCGGATCTCGTATGGGAATGCCCGGTTGACGCATTCGCGGGCTGCGGTGTGTGCCGCTTCATTTCCCTCGAGACCTTCATGACCCTGAATCAACACGATGCATGTGTAGGGAAGAGGATTGTCCATGCGCTTTAGTAGCCTAATCACCACAGTGGAGACCCTGCCTTTCAGGTAGTCCCGTGCCGCTGTTTGTGAGACGGTAAATACCACGATTGGATGCTAACTCGTCTGGCTGGCGAGTGCTATAGCAGCCTCTTCAGCTGTTTCCACACGTTTGGCGAGGATAGTCGGCGATGCCAGTACCGCGCCCTTGTAATCTGCGACGGTAATCGCGAACGTCCCGGATATTTGGCTGCGTCCACGTATCGCGCCTGCGGGTCATTGCCATGCTTTTTCCGGATCATGTTCACCCTGGCGAGCCACCTTTCTCGGTGATGTTGAGGATGCATGTTTCGAGGGATCTGCTGAATTTCAAGGCTTTCTCGCAGCTGTGACGGTGTTTTGCCTTTGCGTTCTTCGTTGGGTTCTAGGGTGGTCTGGTATCCTGTGCGTCGAAGAATCAAGCAACGAGGAAAAAAAAATGGTATGCTGACGAGCTGCGTTGTGGTTGGATGTGAGTCGCGTCTCAAAACTTAGTTTTGTTTGATGCCGCACATCGCAGCCCTCAGTGCTTATGGCGGAAGTGATGTGTGGACGTCGCTATAATTTACTCATAATGTCGACATCGGCGTACTTGTGTTTACACACATAGAATGGGTCTCTAGCACTATTGTCGAACAAAAAATCACGAGAAAAACATCGTGGGTATATTGTAGAAGGTCACCGATACCAAATTAAACATAAATTCGTCAATGCAAAAGTGCTTAGGTATCTATTTAGGGCTTCACTTGCCGTGGGTGGATCCACCTTCATCGAGTCGCAAGAACGCTCGGAGGTCTTTGCTTGCCTTCGCAAGTAAGAGTCAGAGTCTTCAGAGATTAACTCAAACGTAACGCAAAACTTTGACATAGTAGAAAAGAAGAGAGGAAGACAAACGTTTGTGTCCTGTCTCACGTTTTTGCTCAACGTTTCAGATATGCATGCGCAACGTTTCAGTTACGCGGGAAATAATTGAGCCAAACGACATCGCAAATTGTGTGAAGCGCTGTGTGAGTACGCCGTCTGTGGCCTTATCTAAAAAAGAGCTCAATTTTCCGGAGTGTGCGTCCATGAGAGATAAAGATGCAAGGAAAGGCAGGGAGGCTAACCAGACGCACATCCGGTTTGCTACCTTGCACTGGAAAAGGGATGAAGGGGAAAAAAGAGGTTGCAGAGAGATGAGAAGGTACACACAATCACGAGCACACTCGGGGAGCACATACAGGCGGTCGCTCAGGTTTGTTGACTTTAGGTAAATTAGCGGTGCTTTAGTTGCTTTCTGCGCAACTGAGGCAGATGCCCAAGGTCCTAGTATCTTCTGCACACAAAATGGTCCGGGGTCAAGTTGATTCAAAACCACCCGGAGCTGGCATCACTGTGTGTCGTAGCAAGCACAGCTGCACAGGACGTGTTCGATGGTCTCTTCAGCTCCGCAGTAGTCGCATGTAGGAGTGTCTGCCATACCAATGCGAAAAGAGTACACCTTTGTAAATGCAACACCCAACCAAAGGCGGCATAACAGTGTCGCATCGGAGCGGGAAAGTTGTGATGGTAGCTGTAGCTTGAGCGAAGGATCCAGTTCATAAAATTGACACCTTTGGAAGCTGGTAGACGACCAGAACGTGCGTGTGAGATCTCGAGCCAGCAGGTAAAGTTGTCTTGCTGCATCATTCCTTGATAGAGGAATCGGGACTACACGGGTTCCTTCATGAGCTGAGCGGGCTGCATCATCGGCTAATTGATTTCCGGTAATACCAATATGTCCAGTACAAGAAATAAGACATTGCCATCATGAAGCTCTAGCGCGAGGGCATGTTATTATATCAATGGCTTCCGGAGTGTGCGCTGTTAAGCGTCCATATAGGGTTGTTAATTTGAGATCAGATCAGAACTAGGTTTTCTTGGTAGTGTGTGCTGCACCACACGTGTACGGTTTTGTAATGTGTGAGGCGTCACGTGAAATGAGCTATATAATGTGTGGTAAGGGTACGCAATCAACAAGAGTAGGAAGTTAGCGCTCACACTGTCGTCTGTTATTCCCCTTGCTGCCTGTAGAGCATCTTTTCTTCACCCTCAAGCTGAAACCTGTGCTAAAGCAATGTCATTTTATCACGCACCTATTCGCCTAGTCATCAATACCTTGGTGAAGACGCGTTTCACTTTTGTGTTATACCTAATCCTAAAAATGGAGATTAACCATGTTTTTTTATTCTCTTGAAGCACTGCACGTACCATGCTATCAGCTGTGTCGTTTTCTATTGTTTCCCTAATCCCCCAGTGTAGGGTAGCCAACCAGATGTCTTCCTGGTCAACCTCCCTGCCTTCTCCTTTTGTTGCTTCCTCCTCCTCCTTCTCCTCCCCCTCCTCCTCTTCCCACATCGGCTTGGCACCAAATGCAATAACCACTGGAACATTGTGATTTTGCCTAAATCTTTCGCTATTTTTTATTTGATTCAGTTGTTCACTCCTTGCACAATCAGTGAGGTTTGAGTTCCTCCCTCTTTTCTATCTCTTTCCTCTGCTTCATTCCTTCCCCAGTGCAGGGTAATAAACCGGACGTGCGTCTGGTTAACCTCCCTGCATTTTTCTGCATTTTATCTCTACCTCAGGTGACCTAAACATCACGCTAATTCACGTATATTTCACCGGTATTTCACTTTAACTGGCCTTTTATTTCTTATCATGCACCTAATATCTGAGTTCGTTCCTCCGATCCGCAAGCATTGAGCCCTAATTACTAGGTCTGCCCTTTTTAGATTATGTCGTTCTTTCCCTTTGTTGTCGATACCTCGGTTTTGTGACGTGACCGCCTGGATCAGCACGAGTGATTTTCTTTACCATTTGTGTTTATATCGCCAGGCGCTGGGTACAACATAAATCGGTGTACGGGTGGGTTCTGATACACACAGAAAAACTTTATTATCTTGTTTTTGATGGAATAAAACACATATAACTTCTTTTTCTTTGGCGTTGCCACGTCATCATGCGTCGTTTTTTTTTAATTTTTAACCACTGCGACGACCACGGAGACAAGCCTAAGACGAAGGACGGGTGAGTTGAGAAAGATCCTTTTGTTGCCCTTGTTTTCCTTAGACCGGATTTATTCCGCAACATCTGGTACAAGGTGTGTGCTCTGCAATGAAAGATTAGAAAAGGATGTTTCTCTTAAATTGGGCAAAAGTACAGGAGTGATTCGCAGGTTTCAGCGACACGTTCACTCATTCAGCGCAGTGACTTTGTTACTACCAATATGTTCAAGCTAATGCTGGCATGGTTCCAAAGAAATCAGAAACGCAAATATAAGAAACTTTTCATTCCTAGCAATATAAAAAAAGCCATTTTTTAAAAGATAGCACATTAGGCTTCTGTTGCTGTTATCGGGGAAAGTTCAGCCTTTTTCATCGCGCGAAGACAACAGATGATAGACTATTTGTCACTTGCTATCAATACTCGCATCTATAGTCTTTCTAGAGACATACAAAGTCTTTTTTGTGTCTCTTGATGTTGCAGGTCTTCTTAAGATCGGCTGTTGATCTTTCTGATGAACAAAATGACGCCAAGAAGTTTAGAGATCTGTACCTTTCATAAGACGTCATGTGGTGATGTTAGATAAATATTCTCAGCCTCATCGGTGTAGACGCTGCCGGTCAACCGTTTTCTCGTTACAAGGGGTATTGATTGCTTTCTCCATTTAATTTCGTTTTCATATCTCTCTTTTTGGGTTACGCAAGACGTATGCCAATACACACTGGATGAGTATTCTTCAGTACTTTGGCGCACCACCCATTCTGGAGTTATCGGGTCACGTGGCAAAGTAAGATAATTCATGGCTCGTTCACCTTGTCGGTAACTAGATGTAATGCGAGCCGTTGAGAAACGCACACGAGGTAGTGGAGGAAGAAAACCTTTGTTCATCTATATTCCAGTATTAATATGTAGGCAACCACGTGAATATGGGTCATAAACAGCGCAAATATCATGCATAGGTTTTATGGCTCGCCTGAACATAGCCGCCCATGGACCCAGTTAAAAAAGCATACAGGCGAGAAAACTCGACAAACAGAACAAGGCGCCGTTGACACTATTCAAGTACCATTATGTGCGGTCAACTTGGCTTTATTCTCTCAGGAACTTAAAGCGTTGGTTTCACAGTAGTAGTAAAAATATCTTGCGTTATGACTGTTTACCTTATGCATTTGAAAGAACACCGCATGGTATAACAGTGACTAAATTTTCGACCTAAGTTACTCTCATAGAAGCGTTTGAGTAGCACTTTTTGCCTGGCGCACTTACATTTCATGGTGTAGAATCCAATGCGTTTCTCGACTTCATCATTGTACCTGAGGCTAACGTCGCACACATAAAATTCTCCTGGAGCGAGATTTTGTAATTTCAGGATCATTCTGCTGGTCTGTCGGGAAGGTGGCTCGCACTTCTCAATTGCACAATGATGCTGCAACAAATAAATTACACTGTTTTACAACAATCACAGTGTGATTGCTCTGTGTGTAGTCAAGCTACCGTCGTTAGATGCTCTAACATGCGTGCTTGACTACTACAAGTCGCTCAATTATGGAAACAGCAATAAGCAACTTACTTCTCAGCTCTGTAAACATTACAATGAATGGTAATGGTAACAGCCACCTCTAAAAATGACTGAAATATTGTAGTAAACTTTCACCAGTTGTTTATTGCTTTTTCTAACTATATGCGGTCAGAGGGTGTTGCAGAAAGAGCCCAGGAAAACACAAATAATAACAGTCACGCAAATACGGTAAAATAAATGGCATGCAATATCTCGCAAATATAATACGCAGTTACGCCAAGAAGTTTTCCGAAACATTGGACATCTGCAGCAGATGGTTTTTGGTGGGAGAAAAGGAGGAGGACGTGTCAGACGTTCCACTTGTACTGAGCCATGAAAACGGGACACCATGATTATCTGAGGGGCAGCAGAGCAAAACAGTGGCGCAAAAAAGAAATTGTTGCGATACAGTTATTTCAGATAACTGCAGTAACAGTGTTATGAAATCGTGTCAAATAAACTATCTTCTCGGCGGACATTGATGCAACTAAGCATCACAAATTTTGTCGCAATTAGAGCATTTCATTAGACTAGTTTATTATACATGATTACAAAAAAAAAGTAGCGCTCAAATGACAAACGAACAGAAAGATGAACGAAGGCAGACTTTCAGCGCTCACTTCCAAATGTTCTTCTTGCTCGTTCGTCCCTCATTTTTTTCCTTGCTATTTTTACTATCGTAATACCGAAATGTACTGGAAACGCAAAGCGCGAAAATCGCGCAGCAGATTTTCTTGTGTTATATGTAATATGGCACGGAATAGCTACCCAGACTAACACCAGATATCTGTTGATTTCCTGATTGAGCTTCGTGGGTAAGCAGCGTTCCAAAGTTTACAAAAAAGTTCATTTGTTTTCACGTGCGCCCAGATGTGGTCTGAAAATTTGTAGCAGAGTAACCTGTGAGTTCTTCTTGTGATGCAAGAAGGTACCGCTTTGTTGAACTCTCTACACAGAAAGTTGTTAGGCGACATAGAGATGGCGCATTTTTTTAGCGCACGTCAGCATCTATAATTTTCATATGGCACGCACATCCTCTTCTCAGCGATATGCGTGCTTGGCGCAACACTGCAAAGGTTGAAATTTTCGTCATGCGCAAACATTTTCATGCTTGCACATTGATGTGTAAAATACTTCGATTTCTTTACCATTAAGTTCAAGATAAAGTGCTTTCTTGTTACAATTACGTTGCATCGCGGGTGCAACGCGGTCATGTGATTCATGTGCATTCGCACTTTTCTAGCATTGGTGTGTAGCACAGCGTTGAGAACACTTGCCTTGGTAGTGTGAGGGCTCTCGTTCAGAACAAGGCACGCAATACCATTTGCGTATTTTGATCGATGTATTTCTGCATGGTTACGACCGTCTTGAGCGGTGGAATGACATAAACAGAAGGACATATTTCTAGTTCACTCGGCATATAGATGCTGCGCATTTGCGATCGCCAAACTTCATACGGGTGAACTGAAGATTGCTAACTCAGTTTTAATCAAGATTGCTGTGCTGCTCGAATTGTAGGGCGAGTATTGAAAACAAAACGAATATATTATCACAAAAAAAACTTTTGAAAGAGGTAGTTCACCTTGCTCGGCCGACATACAGACGCACCGCAGTAACGTGGTGGGCAGCTCAGCGCACGACGCGGGTCTATTTTGATTTCTGCCGTAGTGGAGGTCAACTTGTCAACGTGTATGTCAAAGTCCACAACATCTGCGAAGACATGCAATAAAATCCTATAACTAAAATGTTCTTTAAGTTCGACGTGCGCATTATAAGAGCGTGTTTATGTTTTTGTACGACGAGCGTTTCTCGCAGTCATGCGTATTGTAATAGCACGCGAAGTGGCGCAAAATAGCTGCGATTTAAACGCAGTCTCACTTTCGACGCATTCGAAGCAATAAAGGAGAAAAAGCTATGACAATGTATTATGCATCGATTTACCGTATTATATAACGCAAATCCCTACTTTAGGACACACACCTAAATGGTACCACACTAAGCATTTTCTGAAAATTTTTAACAAACCCACCTAAAAAGAAACCGATTAGAACCTATGCAAAGTGCCTGGGCACGGACACAGCTGCACACTAAGCAATGAATTCACTGGTAATACTTTTCCTCAGTTCGGAAGAAATATCGCTATGATTGTTAGTCCACAAATCGTAAAGCTGCTGACGTTCCCGGCATTTATACATGTGCAGCCTGAGATTATCCTGCGTTCTAACACGCAAAACGTTTAAGGAATAGTAAAGCATCCTAAATTGCACACGTTTCGCACACTACAATTGTCTTTTATGGAACAGCTCAAAAGCAAGACGGTACTGTTTTGCGAGAGGATGCTACAAATCACCTACCTCCGTCAGCAGAATACACAGACAACTTTTCACCCCGTGAAACACGTCCATGCGGTCCACTTCGCTGTGTGCGTAGAAATACACTTAAGTCTACGCAGGCTGGAAGATTGGAGCAAGTAACGTTTGTAACGTCAGGCTCTATAATGGTTGTCCCAGCACATGAACCAATGCGCAGCATTTTGAACATCGGATCTTCGTAATATTGGTAGGCGACCTCGAGATTGTACTTGTCGAAGCAGCCAGCTGGCCGGTTCCAGCGCAGTACAAATTTGTTTTTAGCCACTTCTAATGTAGGACGCACCTCTGGCATATCTGCAATAAAAGAATGGTGTTCCTACAGCAAACTCATTGTATGTTTCTCTTACTAATCTACAACAATAGCATGGACATAGACGACATTGCCTGATGAGCTCTTCAAAGCAAAGCATTTTATAGCAAGGTTCTGCAAAACATTGAACTGAAGTAATTTTAGTAAGCATTTTACGCAAGACACCAGTTTTACGTCAAGGTCATCCTTCTTCACCGGCACTGCATAGAAAATTCCTATTCCAATGATTTCTCTTATTTGACACAATAGCGTTAAGCAGCTTCTTTGTTAGAGAGAGAGAGAGAGAGAGAGAGAGAGAGAGAGAAATGAGAAAAAAGGAAAGCAGGAAGGTAAACCATATGCTAGTATCCGGTGCTACCCTACACTGGGGTTGGGGAATACGGGGTTGAAAGAGAGAAAGAGAGGTAAAAAATAGAGGAGAGCAAAACACGGACACACATGCACACACAACAACAATTCACTCTGAGGCGCTCCGACAGGCCAGTAGTTCGCAAGAAGCCCAGTATAGCGCTTGCGAAGCCATCTTTTGTGATGATGAGTTATGACAATGGCGCAGTTACTTTCTTCTGACAGCGGCTGGTCATCTAACTTGTTTAGTGTATTAAAGAGGTACTGTATTTCTAAGGTATATTCTGCGCAGTCACACAGAATGTGTCGAATTTTCTCTTCGTCTCCGCAGTGTGCACAAGTGACGGTGTCGGCCACCCCTATGCGGAACGCGTACGCACGGGCAAATGCGACACCCAAACATAGTCTGCGCAGAGCAGTAGCGTCACCTCGTCGAAGATTTGTTGGAAGCCGTAAGCTTAACGTAGGATCAAGGGATCTCAATTTTGCATGCGTAAAAAAGGCTCATTCTAAAGTGACGTAGATCACTTGCGCGCAAGCATGCGGAGATTCCTAGCAGTGTCTGTTCTAGAGAGAGGTATTGACCACTCGCTGTCTTCTGTATAGGCTAAACGGGCAGCATCATCAGCCCAGTCATTACCGACAATTCAACAGTGATTTCGCAACCACTGAATTATAACGTGGTGCCCTTTTTATAACATATAATTTAGCATTTCTGCCGTCTCAAAAACCAACTCTTCATGCGGACCACGGCGTAGATTTGACAGACGTGACTGCAGTGCCGCCTTGCAGCCGCAGAAGATTGTCCACCTGCGCGTGCTTTGGTCATTAATGAAACGCAGCACAGCGCTGCAAGCTGTGCTGACGTTGATGTGGTTGCATGAGCTGTCCTGAATTTGATGGTTGTGGCATGCGTCGAAATAACAAGCACCGCTATTGAGCTGTTTGGCAGGATAGAGCCGTTGGTGTAGATGAAGGGGCAGTCTTGGTACCTCTCGTACAGTAGAAGTAAGGCGAGCTGCTTGATGGCTGGTTTTGACAAATCTCGCTTTTCCCGGATGCCAGGTACTGTCAGGTTTCTGTTTTGGTTTTAGCGGGCTTGATTTGAGCGCCAGTTTAGTGTTGTTCGTGGTAATTTGAGACAGGTGCAAACTAAAAGCAGTGCACAAGAAAGGCGTACCTCTGACGCTCAATCTACTGCTTTTGCAGATTTCCCTGCCAAGTCGGCCTACCGAGCCTCGTGGAAATACTGCCGTTTCTTCAACGAACAAGCAAGACACGCTGGCCCCCGGACATCGCTTCGGCGTTTCTGCGCAGCCATTTCGGCGCATGAGCCTATCAAGTCAGCTGACACGGAGGGAGTGACGGCGAACAGTAGAAAAGACGGCGGAATCCTGCGGCTCGCTTAGTTCGGCAGCAGTGCACAAGAAAGGCGTACCTCTGACGCTCAATCTACTGCTTTTGCAGATTTCCCTGCCAAGTCGGCCTACCGAGCCTCGTGGAAATACTGCCGTTTCTTCAACGAACAAGCAAGACACGCTGGCCCCCGGACATCGCTTCGGCGTTTCTGCGCAGCCATTTCGGCGCATGAGCCTATCAAGTCAGCTGACACGGAGGGAGTGACGGCGAACAGTAGAAAAGACGGCGGAATCCTGCGGCTCGCTTAGTTCGGCAGCAGTGCACAAGAAAGGCGTACCTCTGACGCTCAATCTACTGCTTTTGCAGGTGAGGCTAGTCCCATTTGTTTCTCTGGCATAGGAGTGCACTGCTGCCGAACATAGCGTCTTTGCTGTTGTTGTGCATGACATTTTGGAAATGGGAAGTAAGGGCTCTGGAAAAGATACTTCAGATTCTAAAGAGTTACGTGACCTGTTCAGGGCGTTTGAGAACTTCAAACGTGATTTCCGGGTAGAAATGAAGGAACTGAAAGAGGGAGTGTCTTTTTGTTCTGATGTATGCAATGATGTTAAAGACGTCGCAGAAGATATCAGGACATTAAGGCAGGAAATGAAGGAACTGCTTAGTGAAAACAGGAAACTAAAGACAGAGAATGAGCGCCTGTCGAAGAAGTGTGAAGAGCTAGAGCAGTATCAGCGTTCAAATAACCTGGAGATTAAAGGCATACCACCTGGTAGTGATGCTCTCAGTATTCTTCAAAAGATTGGGGATAGCGTGGGTGAGACCGTTGACACGTCAGATATTGACATTTGTCACTGGGTTCGCACGCCAAAACCTACAATTCAGAACATTCTTGCTCGGTTCGTCAGGCGTGGAAAGAGGAATGATTTTCTGGCTAAATGTAGAAAGAGGAGATTAGACACTTCAATGCTTGGTCTTAGACCAGGGGCTGCTATTTTTGTAAATGAGCACCTAACTCAAGCTAACAAGGCGCTGCTTTCAGCCGCCATCCAAAGAAAAAAGGAAAAACAATGGAAGTTTGTCTGGACTTCTGGTGGTAGAGTGCTTGCCCGTAAGGATGAATCTTCTGCTGTGGTTAATGTGACCTGTCAAGATGACATAGAAAAAATGTGCTGAGTTTGTTGAGTGTATCTTGCGTGTACCAATGTTGTTTTTCGTTGTTCACTATGAGTGTTTTCAGTGAAACTCATAAGTATTACAATGTTCTTGATTTAAAATCGTGTTATCCACAAAATAAAAATTTCCTTTCTGCTTTACATGTGAATGCCAGGAGTATTAGAAGTAAAATAGACGACATAAGCATTTTTCTAGACACCGCGGCAATAAACTTTGATATGCTCATGTTCACTGAAACGTGGTTAACCGATGATAATAATGTCCCAAGTTTTCCTGGATATCGATCTGAGCATCTTTGCCGCGCGGACAGAAAAGGAGGCGGAGTCGCAATTTATTTAAAAGAAAAATATACCCATGAAAAACTAGAACTGTCGGTAATCACAACAGATTTTGAATGTTTGGCTATAAAGGTTGATAAACTTGTAGCGATTGTCATTTATAGGCCGCCTCAAGGGCACAAAACACGTTTTTTAGAGTTTATAGACACACTCCTATCTTCCCCATTACTTCACAACACTTCTTATGTTATCATGGGGGACATTAATATCAATCTTGCTGCAAACGATACGCCCGCCGTACATTTTGAGACACTGCTTTCTGCGTTTGGTTGTGTAAATCATGTATGTTCCCCTACCAGAGTGACCAGGGACAGTGCAACATTACTCGATATATGCGTTACAAATTCGAACCCAGTGGAGACCATAAGCGGTATCGTGTCAAGTGATCTTAGCGATCATTTGCCAGTTTTTTGTTTCATACCCTTGTTATTGAAACACCAAAAGCAACAGAAGGAAACCTTCGTCCGACGCAACATAAATAGTGAAAGTAAGAACTTATTCTTTCAGCTCGTCAAAGCAGTAGATTGGAATGATATATATAAGATAAAAGATGCTGATGAGGCCTATAATGGTTTTTTGAATGCATTACGTCACTGTTACAACACGGCATTTCCTAGGAAAGAAGTCTCTTTTCGAAAGAGAAAAACTTGCCGGAAACCTTGGATAGACTGCTCGCTTTATAAACGTATTCAAATAAAAAATGGCCTTTTTAAAAATTTTTTAAGCCTACGAGAACCCGAAGCATTTGCCGAGTACAAAAAATACCGCAACGCACTTACATCAGACTTAAAAAAGGCTAAACGAGAATATTATCAGAAAAAATTTCAGAACATATGTGATAACCCAAGAAGGGTCTGGGAAACAGTGGATGCCCTTACTGGGAGAAAGAAAGCAAGATATGACATCACAGAAATGCAAGAGGAAAACGTGGTGCTGCGTGGCGAGAACCTAGCCAATGCTATAAATCGTCATTTCGTCAATGCGGGCGCGTATAGTGGTCTTTCTGAAAGCGAAGATGACTCGTGTTTCGAAGAAACAACAGCTATGCAGAATTCAATCTTTATGCTTCCTACTGACAGTGCTGAGATAGCTAACCTAATAAAAAAACTTAAGAGCAATGTGACGCCAGGTATAGACGAAATCACCGCAGCTGAACTAAAGTTGATATGTCCGCTAATATCCGAGGCGCTTGCTTACATAGTAAATCTTGTACTGAAAACAGGCGTGTTTCCGGCACAGTTAAAAGTTGCAAGGGTAACCCCAATTTACAAAGGAGGTGGCATTAATAATATGTCAAATTATAGACCCGTTTCAGTACTCTCGACATTATCAAAGGTTTTTGAAGGCGTTATTCACGACAGGTTGTTATCCTTTTTCAATAAGTATGGCATCATCACAACATGTCAGTATGGTTTTCAGAAAAATAAGTCTACTGAACAAGCGTTAACGATTATTAAAGATCAAATAATTACAAATATGGAAAATAAGAAATTTACGCTTGGTTTATTTTTGGACTTAAAAAAAGCCTTTGATTCAATACATTATGATATATTGTTACGGAAACTATCACGGTACGGCATACGTGGGGTCACCCTTAAGCTATTACAAAACTATTTGCATAACCGGTACCAACTAGTACAAATGAAGACAGCCACATCAAGTCGGCTTCAGTTGACCCAAGGAGTTCCGCAGGGTTCTATACTGGGTCCTTTGCTCTTTTTGCTTTATGTTAATGATATTGTATGTATACCCGCCTCACCACAGCTTATTATGTATGCAGACGACACAAATGTATTTTTCACATCAGATCACTTAGAAATACTAGAAAAAAATGTAAATGAATATATGACGTCACTCTCAAACTGGCTTAAACAAAACAAGCTACAGTTAAATGCCAAGAAGACGACATATATTATATTTCGCCCAATAAATAAACATGTTAAATATGACATAAAGATAAGCTTTGACGGGAACATCATAAAACGAGAAAAACATCAAAAATTTCTTGGGGTATGGTTCAGTGAAGACTTAACGTGGAATGTCCACGTTAATCATTTAGTTAGGCAACTTGCGGGAACGGTAGGATGCCTGTACAGAATTGGTTCCCTCATTCCTCAGTGGCTGAAGAAAAATTTGTACAATGCCCTATTCTATTCGAGACTTTGTTACGGCGTACTAGTATGGGGTACCACAACAGCGAAAAATTATAACAAACTTATAATGCTACAAAAGAAAATACTTCGCTGTTATGAAAATTACCAGGGTAGAATAGACCGTTTGCGCACTTCAGTGCTCTTTGATAAACATGAAATCTTAAAGGCAAACCAAATATATTATTTAAACTGCTTCAAGAGGTACACAAAAATAAGTGGTATAAACAAAAAGAAAATGACCAACGTTATCCTGCAAGAAGAAACTTACAGCGTTTACCGAGAACCAGGACAAATTACGGAAAGCAAACACTGCATTACCAATCAACGCGAATAGTAAATGAATTCCAAAATGGCTTGCAGTTTGACGTCAGTCTAGGGACATTTAAAAAACAAGTTAAAGAAATTTTGATCAAAAAAGAAATAACTTATCATCACTAATCTATATTGTGTAAAAAGAGTAGGTAGAATGTTAATGTTAAGAAAGTAAGTAGTTCATTATGGTATACGATGCATCCATTTTTTGTTCCTGCATCTGTATTATGCTAAGTGTATTATGTGTTGCTTGTTTTTTTTTTATTCCTGTATTTCTTTTGTTAGCGCTCAAGTGGTACATGACATGTTAGTTTTTGCTGCTTGTTTGTATCTGCAAAAAAAAAAAAAAAAAAGTGCATCTGTGACGAACTACAGGTGCAGAGGCCTTTGTCAGGCGTATGAAACGCCTTTTGCTTCTGTATCCTTTTTCTTGCCTTTCAAGAAATAAAATAAATTACTACTACTACTACTACTAAAAGAAAACCTGCACACTGTACATTTGAGACGGCTCTGTGGTCTTCCTGTGGGGATTTCTTTCGAGTGCAAGACACCACCTCACTGACATGCCATTGGTCGCATTTTTCCGAGTGCGATTTTGAAGGGTTGCTAGGATGACGTCTCAACCCACGGCTATCATTTGGAACCTTTGCGATGTTCGGAAAGAGCCTGAACAGATTACAACCTGCAAGCGACTACAAGATTTCAACTTGTCCTCGTCTGCTTTTTTTTCTACCTTGTCGTTCTATTTGCCCAGATTTGTCTAAGTAATTATGCGCGACCTACTAGTTTAGAGGATTCGTCCCGATCTCCACTAACTATGATCCCCGCTGTCCTGTATTCTCACCGGATCTCTATTCAGGGCTCCGCAACTGTCTGTAAAGATGCAGTAAGTATATCTGAAATGATCACGTTTTTGTGCTTTACACCCATGTTTATTTGAATCACACTTATGAATTACTCCGGGGCCTGCGCAACAGCTGCTGACTTCTTCCAGTGGCTTCATATACAAGCATTCTTCACCAATATTTCATAATACCAGCAATACTACTGGTACTTATACTCGGTATCTGATGGAACTTATGTCAGTGTGATAGTTATGTTACAATAGGAAATGTATATATAGAGATAATGTATCAGCAGGCTTCTGTTGCAGTAGTGATATTGTGAATATTGTGCTTACGCTGTGAATATTGTGCTAACAATATTAGTAATAGCGCTTTATTTACAGTAAGTACGTCACAGAGCTCACTGCAGGGTGTGGCAGTTTGGGCTAGTTGGTCTGAAATGACGATAGGTATACTGCGAGAACAGAGCGACGACAAAGGGACCGCTCCAGCTTACTTCACGTTACTCCAGCTTTTAGGCTCCAGCTTACGTCTCCTTTTTTTCCCTTTGTCATCGTTCTATTCTCGCGCTATAACTATCGTCACTGCAGGAGAAAGGTATAAAGGCAAAGAGCGTCAAAATGACCCCTCTTCCTCCGCAGTTCGTACTGAGCTTTTACATCCCCACAGCAAAAAAAAAAAAAACATCAATACATTACGTTTCAGAGAAATGGGCAATAAGCAACTTTCACGTGTACATCAAAATTTATAAACAAAAAATGAAGTATTTTCAAAACACAATACATGAGTTTGAAGTCTCTATCGCAGACATACACAAGCAAGTGTAAATGACCAAAAAAGTTTGAAAACTGAGGAACACAAAATGTACGTGGATGCACGTATATTACACTGTTCAATACTACATTTTCAGGAAAAGGGCCGAGGCGCCGGTGCGTTATTGAGGTTTGTACCCGCAGTTTTGTATTCTTACGATGAGTAAGGGGTAATGGCTGCTCAGACGCACATGGAATGAATGAGCTTTATCTTTATAAAGGAGTTTCAGCATGCAGATCGACTATAATGTCAAGAGGAGCTATAAATAAAAGTATGAATACGGATTCATACCTAAACAAAGTTACCGAATGAAATATTCTGAATGCAAAGATAATTCAAAAAATACTAATATGCAAAAGTAGCACATACATTTATAGTGCCATAAGTTTTGATATCTCGCTTTGTTTTTGGTATGAACTGTTTGCGTATGCTAAGTGACAACGCCGCTATGCTGCACTTAAAGATGCGAACCTTTTGTATTGGTTGTATCAGTAAAGACATATGTATGAGTTAAAACACACCAAACACATTAATTAAAAAACATAAACATCAGATAGTGAAGGCCGAAAACATGAAACTGAACAGCGGTACAGCTTTCCTCCAACTTCTTTGCTCACTAGCTGGTTACTACTTAAATATAAAATCCAACAGCTCGGCATCGCTAGGAAGCGAACGTAAAGACGTGTGGAAATACCTTTTTCGTACATGACGATGTCGTGCAGAGAGACACCAGATGAAGTAAGCTTCAGTTGTCCTTTTCTCTCGGTACGTACGGTGATTTTCACGCTGCATGCTTCTATTTTCCTGCACGTGACGCTAGTGCGATGCGCGTCAACAGTGATACCACCTGCACAGGAGCCCGCACTGAGGCCTCCACCACCACTGCTTCCGCTGTTTTCTTCAGCGACTTCCACAATGTAGCCGTCAAAGCAGCCCTCTGGTCTTTGCCAGGAAACAGTAATGGAATCTTTGTCCATATCGGTCAATTTCAGCTGAGTCACTTCAGGAAGATCTGCGCAGTGTGTTCGAAGAAAATTTATTTAGTTGGTCCCTATGCAGGTCCACGTGCATATTTGTAATCTACGTTTTCATTATCTAGACACCTGCTGCGAATTCTCTAGAGGCGCCTATTCGTAACACGCAACTTTAGCTACATACCTGACATGCAATAAGCAGAGAGCAATTTTTTGAAGACGAGAGCATCAAACGTGTCACCCAAAAAATGAACAGTTGGTGCGAGCGCCGTCAAGAAGGATGATGCCAAATTGCCAATTTTGACGAGATCACCATGTCATGTAATCCTAACGTCATAGATCGGCAAAACTTGCTAAGTCACACGATGACGTCAATTCACGTCATCACACGACTGCCTTCATGGTGTTTTTTACCTGACTTTGTCACCTTCTTTTACCTAAATTTTTACCCAGCCTAACCTTCTTTTGCTGAATAAAGCTTATTTAGTGCAGTCACCACACGAGTAAGCCACAATAGTCTTCTTCACCACATAATCTAGCGTGCGGTGTTACAACGGCCGTAACACCACGGTTCATGTCTTTGTGAACTATTTCATAGAGCTCTGAAAGCTACTTGAGAATAGAGTAAATTTGCGGTGATACAATCACGGCTAGAATGAGTTTCGAGGTGAAAATATTCTTTCTCCAGTGCCAGCAAAGTCACCGTTAGCTTGCAATTCATTGATGTATGCTTGTTGCGAACCCATTTCCAGAACGCTACGTTTGACACGAATGTACCAACCAACCACTTCTCTCTCAACAGCGCACGATACGAAACGACTCGGCCACAAATCATAGGTGTGTTGCTGTGCTCATGGCGGCATATACACACAGTTTACTGCCGGCGTTTCTCGTCGTTCGGTGGCTTAAATGTGATTTAGTTACGACTAGCGAAATTGTGTGAGGATGTTGTTTAAACGCCATCACTCTGCTCTTTACGATGCGTGCGCACTTGTCGCTTGATTGAGGTGACTTGTATGTTTCATGCAGGCGTTCAAGTTGCGAAAAACACGAATGTCGCCTTGCTCACAACAGCGGTCACGTTCTGAAAGAAGCGCTGCTGAAACAGTAAAACTAAATTACTGTAGCAGTTGTTCGTTCACGATCACTGGTGTAGTCACAATTCCGTGCATGGTAAATACACTCAGGTGGTCGAACTCTCCGGAGCCCTTCACTATGGCATCTCTCATAAGCATATTGTGGTTTTGGCAAACTATACCTTAGATATTACTGCCAGTTTACACTTTTGCTGTGCATATTTCTGCCCTCGTTTCTTGCGTCCTCCTTTTTTTTAGTGAATACTAAAAAGGGCCTACAAGTGATCGCGGGTCAAAAAACATCTGGTTCATTATTACGCACGGGATATTCACAATGAGTGTGACCAGCCAGTTTTTTTTTCACTATTCCAGTTTGCGCAGTCACACCTGTTTTAAGAATTTGAAGATAACATCTTTAAAGAATTTGGAAATTTCATTAAAGTTTTCTTAGACGCACATGTGCGAAGCGACTATCTAGGTACATGAAAGACCCCCCCCCCCCCTTTTTTTTTTGCTCTTCTGGTGATACCAGACGGCTGCTTTTGGAATACCTCACCCATCTTCCTAATTTACTGTGGAACTAGCAATGACGAATGTGGCCCTTAGGTACACGCAAGACAGAATAATAACTTCGAAAGTAATCACTTGTCGTTCACCAGACAGACTAACACAAAAATGCGCCAACAGGGGCTTTTACGCAGAAACACGTATTGTGCTGCCGTAATTTTAGAGAGTTTTAGTACTGCGTACGTACGTGGCGGCGTTGCGTACGTAAGGGCGCCACGTTCTGCGTAGTGCACATGCGCAGACCGCAACGCGCACGTATCGCGTTGCGTACGCGTTACGTACGCAGCCGCTACGTACGCACGCATGAGATGCGTGCGTGCGTACGTATGAGGTGATCGCGCCGCTCTCGAACAAGTTCGCGACAGCGCGAGACTTCGTTTTGCAAAATGGCGGCGTCGAAGGCAAGCACCGACCGGCTCTGTGGCTTAAAATATGGCCATAATCTGGCTATAGCACTTGGATTGGCCCACATTGGCTGTCAACAACACGTGCTTCTATTTTGATCTACCATATGGTGCAACACGCTTCACGCTCGTTACGTACGCGGGTGCTACGGCGTACTAAAAGCAGATTAGTGGCAAACGACGCCACGTAACGGAAGGCGCTTGCGTGGTGCGTACGTATCACCATTCCGCAGTACTAAAACTCTCTTTTCCCTCGTGGGTGTCCCTCACTGCCCGCTGCATGTCTTCGCACGTGAGAATGGCTCATAATGAAAAGGGTGATCCCGCTTCATATTGTATTCATTATGAGCTTGATCGCCTCGAAATTTTCGTATCGTACACAATGTTCAATTGCTTATTCACGGAAGTATTCTAAAGCAGCGCTTAGACTGATGTGATGCCAGCGGACCGTTCCCTCGCCGAGTTTATGGTATCGGCTTGCCTCATCATGTGAAAGCATTGGTCTGTAAGCTAAAAGTTCACTTCATCTTGGTGCGCAAGAGCTTACAGCGTCAAATGCATATGAAGTGTCTGTTGTGTGCAATTCGTTGTGCCTATGCAAATTTGATTGATTGATGATTGATATGTGGGGTTTAGCGTCCCAACACCATCATATGATTGTGAAAGACGCCGTAGTGGAGGGCTCCGGAAATTTTGACCACTTAGGGTTCTTTAACGTGCAGGTATATGACTAGTGCAAGCACGATAATCATGACATGCGTGTCATGTAAGAAGAACAAGACTACAAGTCACGCTCATGATGTGCTAGTGGCTGTTTAGCTAGCTTCATATTTACCGAATTTTGTATTGCTTGACGTGAACAGATCACAATCAATATGACACGTTCAATTATGATAATCAGGACATGCGTGTTATGTAAATCATGACTACTTGCTATACTCATATTGCGCTTGCGACCGTTCCGCCAGCTTCACATACACCGAATTCGGTATTACGTGACGTGAATAGACGACAAACATAAATCGTAGGCGCAAACATGATAATCATTACATGGAAGTCATGTAAGGTATAATTTACATGCCTATCACTGCTGTTGCTTGTAACGCAAATGTTAGTGGTGCCATCGTTACGCGATTATGAACAATATACTTGCATCCTATATAAATACCTGGGTGCGCATAACACTTGTACTTGTGTTTACTGTGTAATACATTTGTGCACCTCGCGACCTCGTGCTGATTTCAAAGTGACATATCAAGATTCCTCATTCGTGCTTCAGATATTATTGATTCCAACTGTACGTGGGATCTGCCTTATTTTATTTCACTTTTCTATCTTCTTTCCCCTTTCTTTTCTACTGACTTATTTTCTCTAACCTATTGCTTCTTTCTCATGTCTCGTGTCCTTAAACTTTTCCCAACAACACCCTTACCATGAACTTGCCTTCAACACAAGGTTGTCTGTTTGGCGTTATCATCGTTTTTCAAAAGTAACAACTTTTGAGGTTCTTTTACATTGTCTATACAAGCATATTTCTTTCTTGTGTGGAGGATAGTCATGTGCAATATATTTTTGTGTGCATCTCATTTTTCTGTGTTTATTTGTTCGGTACCACCGTTCGTTTGCCTCATTTGCGCTGCATTATATTTAGGGTGGCTCAAGCTGCTTGATGAACTTTTCTCCTATGGGGTCCCACAAGACGTTGTAGTAACTAAATGAATAAATTAAAATAAAAAAGAGCTCACACGTAAGCCGAAGTAACTAATGGCTTCTTTATTTCCCTCAAAGATGAATCCCTTTTCAAGAATTTTTCATCCGTTCAGTATTGTATCTCTGAAGATATTAGCGATTCATTTCGCCATTACTGATTTGATTGATATGTGGGGTTTAACGTCACGAAACCACGCTATGATTATGAGAGACGCTGTTGTGGAGGGCTCCGAAAATTGCGACCACCCGGGGCTCTTTAACGCGCACCCAATTCTGAGCACACGAGCGTACAAAATTTCGGCCTCCATCGGATATGCAGCCGCCGAGGCCGGGATTGAATCTCGCGACCTGCGGCTCAGCAGCCGAGTACCTTAGCCACTAGACCACCGCGGCGGAGCATTTTGCCATTACTGCGGAAGCATTCATAGATACGTAACGCGCAAAAATATTTCATGCGAAGTAGACTACATGTGCACAAGTAGTGCCACAGAACGTTTATTCACGAGCTTTTTTGTCATACTTGAATAGGACATAATAGAGCACAATATCTTATATGTTTGGTATGGGAGGGCCTAGCTACCATCTTTTTCTGCTTTCGAACAACGTTAAGGATCTGCCACCTCATTCGCTGAATGAGGTACACGTTCTTTTTCACATCCGCCTTCCTATTACTATGACAAGTGTTGCACTCTTACCTATTTATAAAGCGCGAATAACGAATTCTTACGCCCACTTCCTTCAGCTTATCGCACGTGCAATAATCATGCACCATATGACAGCGCAATGAGGCCGTCGACAGACTTTCATCTCATGTGTCTCTCCACTTGCTATCACAGGGTAACGTCCCGAATGATTCGATCTGTTTGAGCTTTAAACATTTACGTTAAACAATGAACAATAATTATTCATTCTGCTTACCGCCGCCAACATTCGACAAAGCCACACCTGGCGGCAAAAAAAAGAGAAACAGGAAAAAATCACCCAGGGCAAAAAATCACGCAGCTTGTCAGATTATTGTCCACCCCACTGTTACGTAACTGTTATTTCGATCCAATACTGTAATGTCAAAAGTATACTCAACCTCTTCCTGGCACGAAGATACCTCTGAGCGTTGCCCCTGGGGATGTCAGACCTGAGGGGCCCTTGCTTTGCACGTGTACTGTGATGCTTGCGTTAACGCATGCCTTGAACTTGTCGCAGGTGATTTGGTTCTGATCTCGATGAATTATGTTCCCGTATGCACATGAACCAACTCGATGTGGTGTATGGATGTCAGAACCGTTGCTGTTGTCGTACACCTCGACCCAGTAGTAGTCGAAATAAGAGGACGGCCTTGCCCAGGATACCGTGAAATAGTCGGGTCCGACATCTATCAAAGTGAAGTTCGT